AAATTGTTTAATGTTATTATTATAAAATCTATTTTATAATTAAAAAATATATATATTTAATGTTATTATTTTAAAATTCTTTTGTAATTATGCATATATAAAAAATAGTATAATATTATAAAAAACAGTGTATGTTTGATGTTAATATATTTTTTTAAAACAAATATAATAATAAAAATAGTTTTATAATTAAAAAAAAAATTATATAAAAACTGTATTATATGTTAATAAAAAATATTTATATATCAAATATATAGAATGTTAATAAAAACTGTTTTATGATTAAAAAAATTATATAAAACTGTATTATATATTAATAAAAACGGTTTTATAATTAAAAAATATTATATAAAAACTATATTATATGTCAATAAAACATTAATATAGTATGTTAAAAAATATTATATGTCAATAAAACATTATATATAGTATGTTATAAAACATTATATATAAAAAATTGGTTTATGTATTTAATTATTATATATTATATGTATGTTAATAAAAACGATTTTATAATTAAAAATTGTTTTATAAAAACTATATTATATGTCAATAAAAAATATTATATTAATTATTATATATTTAATAAACTATATTAATAGTATATAATAAAAAACATTATATATTAAAAATAGTTAAAATAAAAGCATATGTTTATGTTTAATAGTATATATACATAGTATATTTTTAGTAGTAATAAGAACAAGAACAATATGTTTAGGATTATTATTAAGTTGATTAATTAATATTTCTAATTAAAATGGTTTTGATTATATAAATTTGCAGTAAATGGAATATTATAGGTATTATCGTAGTTGATGTACGATAGACTATATCCAAGAAGACGCGCACTTAAACCCAATTTTATAGACGGAGTTAATGGTTTTATCACCTGGACGTTTGCTTAGGAACATTGTCGAAGTGACGGAGGAGTTAGGTGTCCTTGTCTTAAATGTGGATGTAAATATATATTTAGTGACCCATAGGAAATAACACGTCATTTGCATAGAAAAGGTTTCATTGAAAATTATTGGGTTTGGACGTATAATGGTGAAACACTGCCGAGTAATGTACTAGAGACTAGCAATACAGATGCTTCAAGTAGTCGACCGGCTATGCAACCGCCTATGGAATTTGAGGAAAACTTTAATCTGATAGGTGACATGGTTGATGATGCTTTTGGTGTTAACGTGACCTATGATCAACTAGAAGATTTTGACGGGGAAGAGTTGTCGAATGAGCAAGCGCATAGATTTTATCAGTTGTTGAATAAGATGAATACCCTGTTGTTTGAGGGGTCGTTAGACTCAAAGCTATCAATGTGTGTGAGATTATTGGCCGCCAAGTCAAATTGGAATGTTCATGATCAGTGTTTGGAGCCACTACAACATTTGTTGTCTCTGGCAACACTTTTTTAGGTAACATGTAGAAATTGTTGCCTTAAATTCATATAGGCAACGATTTACGATTGTTGTCAAAAATATGTTTGCAACCCTTGATAATCGTCGCCTAAAATACTTTTGGGGACGTTTATGGAGCGATACTCTTTTATTTTTTTGCCAACGGTTGTTAATTGTGCCCTTAACTACTTTTGGGGATGATTTTAGAGCATTAAAATATTATTTCTTTAGCAATGTTTGACAATTGTCTCCTAAAATATTTTTGGGGACATTTTTAGATTGTTACATTAGTTCTAATAAAAGGCTACATTTCTGAAATGTTGTATAAATTTTTTTAGAATTATCAAATTTTTGGTGGCAATCTTCCCTCCAAAACTTATACACTAAAAAACAAATATTTTTCTCTAAACATTATTAATATATATAAAAAAAAATATTTTTCTAAGACATGAATTTAAAATCCTAATAAAATAAACATATAAAAAGAGCAAAGAGGTTACAGTAGAAACAAATGGGAGGAACCACCCATATCTAATATATCTAATATATATATATATATATATATATATATATATATATATATATATATATATATATATATATATATATATATATATATATATATATATATATATATATATATATATATATATATATATATATATATATATATAGACACATTCCACTCTCTTTATAAAAATAAAAAGGAAAAAACTTCCTATTAAAAATAAAAACAAAAGAAGACCAAACTTTAAGAAACATAACACGTTAACCCAAACCTCAATATTCTTTCTTTCTCATTTTTTTAGATCTTCTGCTAACCTTCCTCCTCCATATCTCTTCATTTTTCTTAACTTAACAAATCTCCCATAAATTCAAATTAAATAAACAAGCCATCGAAAGGTGAAAGTATTGTACCTGAAACCCAGAATCTCGGTGCTACAGGGCGTTTGTCGGTGTCGCGTGTTGTTTCTGGTGCATTGTGGACTCGCGGCTGCGATCGGAGCGGAAGGCTGGAGTCTCAAGTCTGCGCGATTTGGAGTGTGGTAAGGATGGAAGAGGAAACTTATTCTTCCCACTTCTTTTTGACTTCGCATTGTTTTCTGCTACGGTTATGATATTATTGTCGTCTAGAATTCACTGCTGGGTTAAAGGTGATGAGTTTGTGTGAGTTTTGGTTTTTGTGTGTATAAGCGCTACTAATATTTTCATTGTTACAGTAAGATAGAGTTAGGTCAAATTTTAAGAGTTGCAAAGAGGAAAATTCAAGAGTCGATGATCTCCTTAGAACTTGTAAGTACTTAAAGTACTTGCAAGTTACTTCTCTTGACTGAATATACACGAGAAGTGTTGCCTCTTTACTAGAGCAGTGAAAATTAAGGCTATATGATACTTGTGGTTGGACTGCAAAGATACGAAATATTCTTCAAAGATATTTCTTCTTAATATATATACTCAATCTTTTTTTCCAAATCGTATTGCAGGAGAGATGATTGTAGGTCCCATAAAAGCACTTTTTATGGATGAAATATCAACTGGCTTAGACAACTCCACTACTTTTCAAATAGTTACATGTCTCCAGCAATTGGTGCACATCAATGATGCAACAACAGTGCTTTCACTCCTCCAACCAGCACCAGAAACCTTTGAGTTGTTTGATGATCTTATATTGATGGCAGAGGGGAAGATAGTATACCATGGCCCCTGAAGTCAAGCACTTCAGTTCTTTAAGGATTGCGGTTTCTGGTGCCCTGAAAGAAAAGGAGTGGAAGACTTTCTTCAAGAGGTAGGAATAGAAACTATGTCCCTTACCATTGCGCCAAAGTTCAAGTGATTTTACTCATAGTTTCACGAATTACAAATTTCATGCGCACGCCGGTAACCTCTAAGAAGGATCAAAGGCAATACTGGTACTGCACGGATATTCCTTACAGTTATGTTTCAGTGGATGAGTTCTCTCAAATTTTCAAAACAAGCTACTGGGGAAGAATGTTAGTTGATGAGCTCTCACAACCATATGATAAATCTCAATCCCATGAAAGTTCTTTATCATATAGCAAGTACTCCTTAGGAAAATGGGATTTGTTTGAAGCTTGTATGAAGAGGGAGATTCTTCTCATGAAACGAAACTCGTTTATCTATATATTCAAAACTGTGCAGGTTACTATCAAATTCAAGTTCAATTTAACTCAGCTAAGTCGTACTTGAACATATAAAATCTAACTTGCTTCTTTTTTCGCTTGTTTTGCAGCTTACAATCACTGCAATCATAACAATGACGGTCTTTTTGCAAACACAACTTGACGTGGACTTGTTAGGATCAAACTATTTATTAGGTTCACTGTACTATAAACTTCTACGCCTAATGACAAATGGAGTTGCCGAGTTGATAATGACTATTACTAGACTACCCGTTGTTTATAAGCAGAAAGCATTCTATCTCTATCCAGCTTGGGCTTACTGTCTTCCAGCTACCATGCTAAAGATTCCATTTTCAGTCCTTGATTCTCTTGTTTGCATATCAATAACATATTATGTTATAGGCTACAGCCCAGAAATAACAAGGTCTGTAACTCGTGTATATGTAAGTATAGTCAAACTTTTTCTCTTTTCTTTTGCAAGTTTTTTCTTATATATTTATTATTGAATCAGGTTCCTCCGCCAGTTCCTTTTGCTTATCGCTCTGCACATGTCATCAACCTCTATGTGTCGTTCCATTGCTGCAGTTTTTAAAACTGATGTTGCAGCTACAACTGTTGGTTCTTTGGTCTTAGTACTCATGTTCTTGTTTGGAGGCTTTATTCTTCCTCGACGTAAGCCGTTTTATATCGTCTCAGTTATAACATGTGGTAGTACTAAATTACTAATTACCAAGTTACTCATCATGGAGTTTATTCTCTGCAGCATCATTACCAAAGTGGTTGAGGTGGGGTTTTTGGCTTTCTCCCATGTCATATGGGGAAATAGGAATAACACTCAATGAATTTCTTGCTCCTCGTTGGCAAAAGGTATCTTCTAAGATAATTTATTTGGTTTCATGATAGGTCACAATATACGTTTATATGGATCTAATTCATATACATTGTCAGGATGATGATTTTTTATATTGTCAATGAATCATAATCGGAAGATCATTACAAATGTTTGACGTTTATTCTAAATACTACTGAAGTCACGCATATAACTGGTTGTAATTTGTTTACAGTGTAAAACTTTTTACACAGACAGTGTAACAACATGAATCTCCAGTTATATGTTTATATTTACTATCGTTATTTTCATCATCATTATTTTTCAGATTCAAGAAGGAAACATCACCGTTTGAAGAGAGGTTCTCAAGAGTCGTGGTTTAGACTTTGATAGCAACTTTTTCTGGATATCAATTGCAGCATTACTTGGTTTCGCAGTAGTATTTGATATCCTATTTGTAGTAGCATTAACTTACTTAAAAGGTGAGTCCTATCCATGATATTACAAGGAAAAGTAATTGTATGTAACATTGTTTATATAATACGTTTGCTTAATATAATCGGCCAACATTGTCTATAATAGTAGCTAATATTTTTTTTTTGTAATTTATGCTAGTCCCAACTTCAAGAAATGGTTGAAAATGAGGAAAGTGATACAGAAGTTTTTAAAGTTTTTTTTGGAAAGGAGTGTCCAGGCAGGGTACGCTGTTATGGGAGAAACATAACTAAAACTTCCTTAAAGAGAAAGGCAGAGATTAATGCTTTGAAACAAGCCCACAGTGAAGAGGTCTCTACATTAATGGACGAGTTTCAAGATAAGATTGATAGATTGCAAAATGCTTTTAAGACCGTAATACAACAATGCAATCCTCAAATTAATATAGAGTCAATTGAAGATTTGTTAGGATTATCTCATGGAGATGCTAATAGTTCCCCAAAGGATATAAGACCGCAAATGCATTCATCTACATCAACTCATGCTCCATGTCATGGAAAGGTAACCATATATACCAATATTATTGATTTATATTTTTCTAATTATGTTATAGTATCAAAATGGTTGTTAATGTATGCAAAAATTTGCAAGTAGTGACAACACCTATAATAAAGTAAGTGGTTGGAATTGTTTAAGTAGTGACAACACCTAGAAGTGGCTGAAACTGTTTTATTTGTGCGAGCTTTCATTGATATTTCACAAACATACTTGCCTGGGATAAGATTATGGGACCCCCTTGTTTGATAACACTCACTATGTATGCTGTAAATTTATCCATATGATACTGAACACCAAAGAAGATACAACAAGTAAGAGTGTTCATCAGAGTTCATTTACTCCAAAAAATAAACATAAAAGGATAACACAAGTTATACATACATACATACATACAGTTAAAGGCTATTGTAAGTCCTGAATAGTGAGCCAAAAACAGAATGGTTTTCATAATTGATTTATTTGCTAGTAAGCTCATGTCACCTATTACAGTTTAGAATGAAAATTCACATCCATTAAAAACCTTCATAATTAATTCACATCCATGAGATGTGAAGAATATAAACAATGTGTTTTGCTCATTGGTTTAGTTTTTATTTGTGCGAGGTTTAATTCTTGTTGATGTCTTAATTGTCCTTTGGACCAAAAATACTTATGGTTAATGTGTTTTATTTTATTTTCTTATGCAACAATGTATCAATGAAGATGTTGAAAAGGACGATATAAATGATGAAATTCAAGAGGACGACATAAATGATAAAATTCAAGAGGACGACCTAAATGATAAAATTCAAGAGGACGACGTAGATGACGAATTTCAAGAGGACGACATAGATCTAGATGATGAATTTCAAGAGGAGGATATAGATGGTGAATTTCAAGAGGACGACGTAGATGAAGAATTTATGGAGGATGACATATCTAACGGATTTCAAGAGGACGATCTGGATGCTTTACTCCTAGAAGACAAACTTGAATGAGTTGGATGATGTCTTTTTTTTGGCTTGTAGTTGAAAGCATTAAACTTGAAATATGATTTTTGTTCTTTTGCTGAACTATGTTTTTAGTTATTTTACTAGGGTCATACTTCAAAGTATTAAAAGTAATATTGTTACGTTAGGCATTTTGTGTACTCTATATACTATATCTTGAATTAAAGTTTGAACTCGATTTTATTATATTACAACTTTTATGGATGTATGGTTTAAGTTATATAATCAATATTATTTTTGAAGCCAATTATTATTGACTATATTATTTTGATAATAATTGCAAAATTGTATATTTTATGTGGACACTATAAAACAACAACCTATAAGCTATGGCTACACTTCAAAAACGATCTTCCTGATTCAGGTTTAAGGCAACGATTGTTAATTGTATCCGAATTTGGCAATGCAACGCTTAAAAAACGTTGTCTCAGAGGCCGTAAATAATCGTCCCCTATTCCTTTACTATAGGCGACGTTTTTCAAAAGCGTTCCCAAAAAACATAAAAAAACGTCGCCTCAAACAATAGGCAACGCTCGCACAGGAGACGCCTAGAAAACGTCCCCTATTGTTTTAGGCAACGATTTTCAGAGTTCTGGCAACGTTTTCCAATTGTTGCTTGATGGGGTCTGCGATCGACTTAATGTTTGACGGTATCTTAACTGCAAGCGCACAGCCTATCGGGGTAGTAATAAAAGATTGTCGAATCCACAGGGACTTTGTAATCACGCTAGTGTTGTAAAACAGGTTGGTTTAGCTAAGGCGGAAATTGTCACGTTGGTTTTGGGAAAATTAAGGAAGGTAAATTAATTGATTTTAAAGTAATTATAAAATGAACGGTCGGTATGCAATAGAGTCTACCTAAGGGATCTAATCGGACCTAGGCATATAAGGATGGTCAACTTGGTTTGTCTGTAGAATTAATCAGTTTAAAAACCCTCAACTCACACTTTCATGGTCTTATCTCGGATTATACGTCTAAAGCCCTATACCTGCTTTCGCTAGCCTATAAGTGTTTAGAAGTATTTTTTGGAAACTTAATTAATTCTAATTTGGTTTAAAGCGCTTTCACTGTATTTAAATCAAATGCCTAACTTTAGCTATCCGGTTAAAAATCTCACACTTTCGTGGTCTCGATCTAACCTATTTACTCTTCTTACTTTCGTAACAAAGAATTTATTATTAAGCATAAAAAGTTATAACCAGAGTTAAATTGATTAAAGTTTTAGCCTAAGTTTGATTAGATGCCTAATGTCTCTTACTATTCCATACCGACACTAAAGGTTTAGCTAGCCATGGAAATTAAAATAAACATACTGTAAATAAAAGCAAACAAATATAAATTGGACATTATAAATAATAAATAACAAGCATGCATTAATTAATTAATTAAAATGAATTTAATACAATTGCAAAATAGAAACCTGACAGTAAAGCCAATACTTCAATCCCTCTTCCACAAATCAGAAACTCGGACTTGATATCGGGAGTATTGCAAATTCTGAAGCTTGAATGATAAATCTTAAACTATAATAATAATTCCCTAATGTTGGAAATTATTATTTGGACAGTGGAATTAAAAGAATTGAAATAAACAAATGCTGGAAAATAATAACTGAAATAATACTGGTTTTGATTTTGGCAGAGCTTCGGCACAATTAAGCTGTAATAAACTCCGTCCTTCTAACATTCAATGTTGAGGTATTTATAGAAGAATAAAATCTGGCAGTTAAGCTTGAAAACTTGTAACTCAGTCTTCCTTCAAAATCTCCAAAAATATAGTAACGTGAGTAGTTGAGGGAGAAATGGTGAACGTGGTGTTTGACTGGAGAGAATTAAGGAGTTTGGAAACTCCTTCTGTTATGCTTGCCACGTTCTGCATTTCCCAAGTGAACTGTTATACGCGTTACGTTCGTTAGCTTGGCGTTACGAGCAGATTTTGGTCTTTCCCGTGTTACGGTCATGGCCACTGTGTTACGGTCGTAACACGCTTCAAGATGGCTTACGATCGTGGCAGCTTCATTACGACCGTCACAGCTACAAAAATGCAGTTCTTTGACAGATTTATCTTTTTCTTCTGTTCTTTTGATGCTTTCTTGCATTGTTTCATGTTTTCTTCTGTTTTGAGCTCAGTTATGAAATACCTGCAAAAAGTGATGACAAACTCGAAATATTCGGGAATTAATCGGGTCAAAATAATACAGAACGGGCGAATTTCATAGAAAATAAACGATACGATTTCGTGTTATCAAATTCCCCCATACTTAAACCTTTGCTTGTCCTCAAGCAAAATAATCAAATTAAAAATATCGGACAAGTTTTTATAAACGCACATAACTAGTATACCTTTCGTTTTCAAATAATTTCAAAAAATCCTAAGTTAGTTCGGCCGAGAAAATCGAATGAAACAACAACGATACGTAAATGATACAAGCAACAAGCTAGTCGACGACTATCCGTTTTAAACGAAACGTCCAATTATACCGTTATAATTCAACTCAAGGTTTCTCGTTCATATTTCACCCGGTTTCGTTCTTGCGCAATCACATTAAGCCCATTATCCTTGCACGCACGTAGTGGAATAGCCAGTTAGTGGTTCTGATCAAAACGCGACGATTTCTGGCACAATTATGTGGCAACCTCTTTTATCCAATTGCAAGATGCGGGGGATCAAACCGTAGTCTGCCCTACCGAGTTCAGTACCAGATGCTTCCGAACCACCTAGACAATGGATTCTTATGTTACTTAGTAGAAGCTTTTGCATCCGTTGGATTAAACGATCGGGTGAGGATCGCCCAATTTAATTGGTGCAATATCTATTTCCTTAAAGCATGTAACATTGTATTTAAATCAATTTGCAAGATCATCCACTTATGTTCATCGACTTTCCACGTGGATTGTGTTAGGACTGGTGCTGACTGCTAATATAAACTACTAGGGGCTAATTTAAGATTCAAAACTCAAAGTATCGGTATAATGAAAATGGAGACGATTCGCGTGAGTAGAGAGTCGAAGGTGTCATAATCGTATAGTTCTCGTTGGATCACTCTCGGCCTTCTAACTAAGATTTCAGTTAAAGAAGGTAACTAATGGTTATGCGAATATAAAAGGCGAAAAAATTTTTGGTATGGCTAAATAAAACGGGGAGAAAATGAAATAACGAAATATAACTGAAATAGGAATGAAATTACTCGTTCTGGATTAAGAATGCAGTACTCCTCCCACACTATATCAAACATTGTCTCAATGTTATGATATAATGGCGAGGTTAAATAAAAAGTACATCGGAAAAACAAGGAAAACAACAAGAAAAGGAAAAACTACTGGCGACCACGGCGGCTTCGGGTTCGTGACCGTCTGGAAGGAGTAGCTTCAGGGTCAGTGTCCTGGGGTCCGAGAGATGTAACATCCATCCTCAAAGCATTAAGCTCGCATAACACTTCATCAAGCCTTTCATTTGTCGAGCGTTGACCACTCAAGATTTGGACATTTTGCTGATGTAAGGCGCCGAAACGCTCCTGATTCTTCCTTTCAAGAGCTACAGCCATCTGATTTTGCTGATGGAGGGCTCTAAGGACGTCCTCCATAGTAAAAGGAGGTGGTGCAGAAGAGGACGACTCAGGAATGTCAGGCGCGGGAGCAGCTCGATCCATTTCTTCCTGTATCTCATCAGCGGGGCCGACATGAGGTTCTTCTTGAGCAGCAGCAGGGCCTTCAGGGTTAAATAGCCAGTTGGCTCGGTTCTGAGGGTCGATTTTGTCCCTGCAAGGCAAAACAATATTAGTGTAAACTCGATTTTGTATCACTGGATGAAATCTTCCATCGTCCCGCTCGTGGATGAGGTGGGCCGATTTGCAATGATCCAAAGTGAGCAGAACCGGTGGTCGGGATGGCAGATGAACAAGGGTGTCACCATGGTTTAGTGCTAAAGCAAGAGAAGTGACAAGCCCTCCAAAATAGAAAGGTTTGTCGCCTCTGGTGCAGATGGAGTGAATATGAGCCAGGAGGAAAGGTGCGGCATTAATTTTCTGACCCGAGAATGCACAATGCATGAAAAATAGCTCCTTTGAGTTGAGCTTGTGGTTGCTATCTCTTGCAAAGATTGTGTTGGACAAGATGCGGTGGATGTAACGAATGGCGGGGTTGTGGATTTGGGTGGCATTTATGTGATCGTATGAATCAGCCCGATTATTGGTCAAGCTATGCCACAGGTTGAAATATTCCTCATGAAAAGTGTCAGGCACACGTAGGTGAGCGCCTTCGTCGATACAGAAATCAAGTAGGCGGCCGAATGCGTTCTGAGGGAATTCGTATTTGGTGCTGAAAATTCGGAACCTTACCACACCGGTAAGTTGATTTCTTGCACCGTTTGGAGTAATGTAGCAAAATGAACTGAGAAACTCAAGTTTGATAGTCTCATACGTCGGTTGTGGCTGGCTACATAGCGTCCAAAGGTTGACACTTTGTAATAGGTGTTGGACACTTTCGAGCAACCTGAGGTTTCAGAGGCAGTCAGTGTCGACGAACCTCGTAGGGTGGATGCCTCGGCGTCGAAACTTTAGGAACCGTGTCCGCTGAGTTTCACCTGCTTCGCCATTTCGTAGGGAAATGCCAGGAATGAGATTGTTCGCCATTTGCATGCAAAGTGTTTGAGTGAAAATGGGTCTTGGTTGGTGAATGAGAGGATGAGAAGATGATACGGGTAATGGATGTATATATGGTGGAAGGAGGTAGTGGAAGTTTGAAAATTGATAGGGATTAATTTTGGGTTGAATGGGGTTAATGGGGAGTTATGGAAGAAGAAGAAGAGAGAAAGGTGCAGGAAAAGGGAACGTTCTGCTAACAGGGTTACTGATGTAACCCGTGTTACGGTCGTAACACCTGGCTGACGAGCATAACGCTCTAAAAGGCATGTTACGGTCGTGGGGGATAGATGACGATCGTGGCAGCTACAAGTTTTGGTTTTTCACAGAACAGAACACAATACAATT